GGTTTGACTGGCCGTTGATCTCGGGGTCAGGACTCTCCTCGCTAATCCCTCGCTCTCCAAACACCGCTCCCCCTCCTCCTCCCCACGCTCTCCCACCCTTTCCCTCACCCCTCTCCCCTCCTGCCACCCCCGTTTTCCTCCGGCATCATTCATGTGCAGCCCCTCTGGCGGCAGCGGGGGCTCCTCGCTGCCCGGGGCTCGCAGGGACCCACTCGCACCCCACGAACAACATCTACCCCCCAGGCCCCCTGCTCCGCGACTCCGGGAGCAAGGAGGGCCCTCCCTGCAAGATCAACTCTCTGCACACTGACAGGGACACAGGGACACACGGACACAGGGACACACTGACAGGGACACACGGACACACGGACACAGGGACACAGGGACACACGGACACAGGGACACACTGACAGGGACACACGGACACAGGGACACAGGGACACACGGACACAAGGACACAGGGACGCACGGACACACGGACACAGGGACGCTGTCTGTCCCCACGGGACGGCCCCGTCCCGGCGCTCCCCACGTGACGCTGAGTGTAGGAGGGAAGGGGAGATCTGGAGATTACTGGGGCGAGCTGGCAGAAAGTGTGCGGGAAGGGGGAGGGAGGGGCACGAAAGGGCTCGGGGGAGCCGGTGAGTGCCCGGGAAAGGCGGGGAAATCGTGGGGCGTGGGAGAGCGTCGGCGCCAGGCCCGGGAGAGCATCCCGTCCAGATAACCCATCAAACCCACAGACACCTGCCAGTTCGCGTCTTTTAGCTCCGTTTTACTTTACAACAATGCTTAGATCAGCCTTTTGGTTTGGTTTTCGGCGGGGGAGCGTGTCTGTGCGATGCTGCGGTGCTTTTTTTCTTTTATAGAATTTTTTTTTTTCCTTCCGTGGCAGTTTACACGTAATAATAAAATGCTGTAACCGCGTCAGACGTTCAGGTGACCCGGCCTGATGTCGCCTGCATGTGGCGCAGCTGGGAGGGAGGGTCCTCCCCACCCTCCCCCCCCCCCCCCCCCGCCCTACCAAGGAGCATTTCGCGGAGCTTCTTGTCCCGCTGTGGCCCTACGGGCGCCTTGGCTCTGATTTCTGGAATCGTCCCTCTTTTTATCTTCCTGGACCATTTCGCGTGCCCTCCTCCCGCGCTCCGCGGCTCGCAGAGGCTCGGAGCCGTCCCAGCGATGCTCCCCCCCGGGGCTCGTTGCGATGTGACTCCGGCTGAGGGCGCGGAGGAGTGGAACCGGAGGGAACGGCTTTTCCCCGGGGCCCGACGCCACTCCTACGAGCTCACTGAGCCACGCACGGTGCAGTGCGAGGAGGGGGGGAAATGTTTTTTAAACCAGCAGAACCGTTGGGAAAAGAGCTGCGGAGTTCAGGCCAAGTTTGGGTTTTGGCTGGAAGTTTGGAGCGGATCAAACCTGTTATCTCTGAGTGCCTCCTGTCCTCCTGGCCCCTCTGCCGCCGTCCCCTGCAGGGGACAGGACAGCGCGACCGCGGCGTGGGCTCTGGCCAGGGGGGCCGTGACCCCAAGCTCCCCACGCTCCCCGAAGCCGAGAGGGCACCTCGGCCCCGCTCCCATTCGCCTCACTCCCTGGATTTCCCTTCCTTTCACTGAAAACGAGATGACTTTTTGCTTTAATTCTTCCACATACGTGATTTTAATAGCTCTGTCAATCATGCTATAGGAGGAACATTTCATACAATTTTAGATGTAATGTACTTAAACCATAAATCGCTTAAACCTATTCTTAGTTTTGCATATTCAATTATTCTCTTATAGATAACTCTCATAGCAAAAAGCCCGAAGATATGATTACGTTACTGTACCTAACCCCAACTCATCTGTCTAGGAAAGTAGTTTTGTTTAAATACCCAAACGTAAGTTTAACTCGAATTAAACCGAGCTGCCAAGCCAACCAATAGACCACGAACAGCAAAAAAGTTCTTGACACCCCGATGGTGTCTCAGTGGGGGTGGGATGGGTAGGTAGTTTTTTGGTATTTCGTGGAGATTTTTTTTTGTTTTGTTTTGTTTTATTTTTGGTTGCTCGGCTTTTTTGTTTTCTTTTTCTTTTGTTTGTTTTGTTTTTTTGTGAAGGTTTTCTTTTTTGTTTTGTTTTTTTTGGGGGGGGGGGGGTTGGACATTTGCAGAGCGAACTGCATTACATTGAAAGACGGGCTAAGGGTGTTTGAAGCTTATTTAAATATAGCCGACATTGGGTCTCTTTAATCCCCTTGTGTTGAAAGTGCAGGTATTCCTATTATTCTAGGCATAACGCCATTGAGCCGCTAAATTGTGATGGTAGGAGGGAAAACTCATTAAAAGAAGCTAATTTAGAGAGCTATAATTTTTTTTTCTTTTTAAAAAAAGCACTTCCCCACAGTATTTCTGCTGTTTGGACGCAAATGAACAGATATTTGTTTGCTTTTCTCCCTTGACCACTCCAATCCTGTTCCATCAGTCGTAGTCAGCGATACAGGATCGTCTCGCTGGGATTTTTCTATTCTACATTGTCATTAAATGTGATTTTCAGTAGCTATGACCCTCAAAGAAAAAGGCACGTAACAAGGGTGCATCAGACATGTATGTGTCTGCATGTGCACATGTCACACACACACGCACACACGCACACACACACACACACACACACACTTCTCTTGGTCACGATGCTATCTGTGGTGTGTACAGATATTTCCCAGTATATGCACATGAAGGACAACAAGAAATAGTTCAACAGGTATCAGCTTAATCTGCATACCTAAAGGTACAGCTATTTTTAAAATGTCATCTAAGACTGTGTTTGGCTGGAGGTGATCAACACCGCACAAAGTTTCCCACAGGTTCCTGCTTTCTGCATGCACTCTTTGGTCGCGGAGCATTTCCAAAAGTCGTCTGCTGACTGTCTGAACCCCCACACTCCTCCATTTTAATAAAGGCTCGAATAGTTAAGAAAAGAAAAGATAAAAAAATGTTTGGGCTGAAATCAGTGGACAGCTTCTATGAAAATTTTGCGTTCAGTATGAGGGATTTATACAAAATTATCGACAGGAGCCCGAAGAGTTATGTATGTCAATTGATATGTCCGCATTATGGAAGTGCAATGTCCAAGACGGACCAAACCCGCTCCTCATTAGCTACTAGAACTTCCCCACTCCTGGACGGATGCAGTACTTGTTCACCAGAGCTAAAAGACGAACAGTCCTACAGCCTGCTGGGGTCGACTTTGAAGTCCTGGAAGTTAATTATTTTTCCTTTTGTTTAAGCAGCTATGACTACTTTAAAAATCCATTTGCTACAGTAGTTTACAGCAAACTTTTAATTCTAACATATAGAAAAGTATCTCTCAACAGCTAGAAAAAAAAATTTAAATTAGATCTCAAAGCATTAAACAACATTCTGTAATGAAATGACACGCATCGTTTTGCTCGACAGCTTTCGCTAAAAACGGGGGGCGGGGGTTGGGGAAGGGGGAGAAAGGGGTGACCCCGCCGCTCCCCGGAACGCTCCGGGTGGATGGGGCTGCTTTTCGGGCGGGAGGTTTAGAGGTCGCTTTTCTTTCCGGGACGCGCAGAAAGAAGCGCTTTCCCTTTCCATGGCTTTAATTAGAGGGGAAGCGCCGCGCCGGACGGTGTGCTCCCGTTTCCCGGGGAGCTGGGTGTCCCCCGGGAACTCCCGGCCGAGAGGGGCGGGCAGCGCCCCGTCACCCCCCAGGGGAAAAGCCAAGGCTCCGGCAAGGTCCGGACCGCCAGCCCAGCCGTAAAAGCCACAAAATGAACGTTCACGGCTAGAACTGTAACGCAGTGAACTGCCTTCCCTTGCAGTAGGGAGCGAGTATTAAAATAAATCTACCTTCACCCCTTCTGATTTACACAGGTTAGGGAACATCGACATTTACTGCAGATTGCACTTCATTCTGTTTGCCGCTGCTGCTTAAAAATTCCTTCCCAAAATCCAGGTTTCCCTGCTGTGTTTCCAGGTTTACCATGGTAAACACCACTATGTTGGCCAGTTAGCTTTTCTTTTTATACAGGTGACTTTTTCCGCTTTGAAATTTATTTAATCAAAACAGAAAAAAAAGAGAAGAAAATAAAAAAGGACCGCATCCTTAGGATTTCCGTTTAGCAGAAAGGCTTTTTAGTAAACTATATACACAATCTGATTTCCTTCGTACCGCCTAAATAAAAATTATTTCACAATGCATTTACAAGAAATGATACAAAAAGAAAACAAAATCAAAGAGAAAAAAAAACCAAACAAAAATATCCAGATACATTAAAGTTTTACGAACCCCGGGGAAAAAATGGAGCTTCCAAAACAAAACAAAAAGAGTTTTATAAATAAACAAACAAGTAACGAAAAAAACCCCCAACCCCAGCCCAAAATACCCTCGAGAATATCTACAAAAAACTTTTAAGTGTTCTTTTGGATTTGTCTTAATACATGAGTAATAAATGAGAACTGTTTCCTCATGAACTCCGAGTTAATTAGTCAATAAAAAATCTTCGCAAGAAGCGATCCGTGACTGAAATCGTAGCGGTTCCGCGCGGTATAAAAGTTGGCATCACCTACAACTTTGTGTGTTTATTATTGGTATCTTTTTTTTCGCCGCCGTTTCCCCCCTTTCTCTCTTTCTTTCTCCTCTTTTGCAAATAAACGCTCTATGTCTCTTGGGTGAATGATAAATACTGTACAAAAAGTCTCGATAAAACACAGGAGTTCAGTCTAAAACTAGTTTCATAAACTAGTTCTGCTAAAAAAAGGTAAGTAAAGCAACCGTTACCTTTTTTCTCTCTCGTTATTATTATTATTATTTATTATTATTATTACAAGAACATCAAAACATTTCTGTACAAAAAGGAAGGAAGAAAGAAAAAAAAAAGAGAGGCGGGGGAGGGCGGGAGGGAAGGGGCGCGAGAGGCAAAAATAAGAGGGGGGAACCTGGGAGCGGGGCAGCAGCGGCGCGGGGCCGGGGCTGAGCGGGCGGCGGCAGCGGCGGGCGCGCAGTCCTGCAGGCCGGCCCGGGGCCGGGGCCGGGGCCGAGCCGGTGCCCGCGTCCGTGCCTCCCTGCGGCGCTCCGGGGCCGGCGGGGGCTCAGATGTGCGTCAAGGGAACGGTGCCGTTCACCCCCGTGCTGGCGCTCTGGTAGTGCTGGGGCAGGGAGTGCAGCCGGCTCTGGGCGGCAGCGGCCGCCGGATCCCCGCCTTCCCCGGCCGGTAAGTACATGCTGATCATCTCCCGCAGGTCCCCGGGGCACGGGGCCCGCGAGTGAGAGGTGACGGGCGGGCTCACGCTGGGCTCCGACTTCACCAGCGAGCCCAGGGCGCCCAGCGCACCCGAGGAGGCGGCCGCCGCCGCCGCCGCTGCCGCCGCCGCCGCCGCCGAGTTCTGGTGGGGCTGGGAGCCGTAGGGCAGGGCGCCGTAGCCCGAGGGCGAGGCGCTCATGTAGCCCTGCGAGTTGGAGATGGGGCTGTACTGCAGGGCGCCCATGTCGTAGCGGTGCATGGGCTGCGGGTTGTGCGGGTGGTGCGGGTGATGGGGGTGCGGGTGGTGCGGGTGCCCCCCGCTGCCCGGGTGCTGGCTGTAGGCGAGCTGCGCCTCCTGCATCATCGCCGCCGCCGCCGCCGCCGCCGCCACCGAGCCCGGGTAGGCGCCGTTGGCCCAGCCGTTCATGTGCGCGTAGCCGCCGCTGGCCGTGCCGCCGGGGCTCTCCAGCCGCTGCCCGACGCCGCCCGGGCTGACGCCGACGCCCATGCCCACGCCGACGCCGGCCGGGCCTCCCCCGGCCGAGCCGGCGCTCAGCAGCCCCCCGGCCAGCGAGTACTTGTCCTTCTTGAGCAGGGTCTTGGTCTTCCGCCGGGGCCGGTATTTATAATCCGGGTGCTCCTTCATGTGCAGCGCCCGCAGCCGCTTCGCCTCGTCGATGAACGGTCTCTTCTCGGCCTCCGACATGACTTTCCACTCGGCCCCCAGGCGCTTGCTGATCTCCGAGTTGTGCATTTTGGGGTTCTCCTGGGCCATCTTCCGCCGCTGGCCCCGCGACCACACCATGAAGGCGTTCATGGGTCTCTTGACCCGGTCCTGGTTCGCTTTGTTTCCCCCGCCGCCGCCGCCGCCTCCGCCGCCTCCCGCTCCGGTCTGCCCCGAGAGGTTCGTGGGGGCCTGGGCTCCGCCAGGGGAGTGCAAGTCCGTCTCCATCATCATGCTGTACATTCAAATAGCTTTTTTATTTTCCACCGGTGCCAGACGTGAAAAATGAATCAAACATAGAGGAGCCCGGGAGGCCGGGGAGCGAGCGAGGCGAAACCCGTTTGTAACTAGGTAGCGAAAAAAAAAAAAAAAAAAAAAAAAAAAAAAAAAAAAAAAAAGAAAAAAGAGGAGGAGAAGAAAACCGCGAGGAGAGCGATCGGCGACCCTGCCGGCGAAAAAACTTTCTCCCTTTCGCAAATCACTCTCGGGGCTCGGCGGCGACGGGGGTTCGAGCTGCTCAAACAGGTGCACGGCAAACTTGCTGCTTCACTTGGCGCGGCGGGAGGAGTGTGCGGAGCCGTCGGCGGTGTCCTCCGCTCGCCGGCGCTCCCCGGCAGACGCGCGCACACCCCTCCGCTCCCGCTCTTATCCTTAACGGAGCTATTTTTTTTTTGTTCTTTGCTGCTAACTTGGAGAGAGAGAGGGAGGGAGGGGAGGGAGCGTGTGTGACTTGCATCCGCTGATCGCAGGTGAACGGAGAAGAAGAGAGGAGAACCCACCGCCACGCGAAAAGGAGGCGGAAAAAAAAAAAGTATTTCAACGTTAACTGAAAAAAAAAAAAAAAAAGCAGGAGGAGGATCGGGGGAGGGAGGGGGTGGGGGAAGGAGCCCAACCAAAACACGCGCCGAGCCCGGCGGCCGGGGCCGGCGGCACAGTAATTTGCTGGCGGTGGTCTCCCTCCCGCGGCCCGGGCGGGACGGGCCGGGCAGGGCCGGGACGGGGCCGCCTCAGGAGGAGGAGCCGCCGGGCGCGCGGGCGAGCGGCGCCGCAGCCATACGGCGCGCGCCGAGCCCGCCTTAAATCGCCTGACGGCGGCCAATGGGGGCGCGCCGGCGGGTGCTCATTTGCATATGGCGCGCGCCGAGCGGTGACGTGCAGCGGGGCGCGCCGCGTTCGGCGGGGCGGCCGCGGCCCCTGAGGGCGCCCCCGGGGCGGGGACACCCCTCAGGCCCGGCCGCCCCCCAGCCCCGCCGGGCGCCGCCGCAGGGAGCCCCGGACCGCCCCGTCCCCGCTCACTGACAAGACCGTCGAGCAATGTTTAGTGGAGCTGAGGCGCCCAGGCTGTCCGCCCCGCTCCCGCAGCCGTGCGAGCGGCAGGTAAACATGCCTTATTGCGGGACTTCGTTCTGGAGATTTCTCCGGAGCCCCCTCAGACGTCTCTCCCAGGTGTTAAAACTGCCGCCAGGCCCAGGCATGCGGAAGAGGCTGGACGCAGTCATTTTTCACTTAGTCCTAGGGGAGTTAAAAGCACCTGCGACTAAAGAAGGTACACGGAAACATGTTATCTTTGTATATAGTAAGTACAGGTGTGTGATTTTTTTTCCCCTTGAAAACATGAAAAGACTCCCTTAGTACCTAGCTGTCCTGTGAGATTATAGTTATTTTTATAGGGAGGAGAAAATAGTCCACGTGGAAATCGATGCTGCAGTCTTTAGTTGCAGCCGTAGGAATGGCAAGTCCGTCGCACAAATGCCCACGCATGTATAAAGGGCCGCCCCCATCATCTTTGCCCAGGTGGAAAATGCACACACAGCGTGCCTGCTCTTTTCACGGTCCGTGTTAACTTTCCTGACCCTAGTGGCCATCCAAGGCTGGAATCACGCTGCAACTCCCCCAATTACTGTTATTACCACCAGAAGTTTTCTGCAGGAGGAATATACACCGTGCCCAAAGCACCGGTCCTAGGCGCTGGGCTAGGATTAGACTATTTTTTTCTCATTTCCAATGACTCGTCATGATAATATGGGTTTGATGGGGAGAGGAGAGTGCCTCTCCACTTCTCAGCCTGCTTCCAGCCTTTGAGCTCAATCTGAGCGATGCTGTTAACTCGGGTGCCGATGCTTTTGGAAGGACATTATTCTCTCCCAGTCAGCCCTAAGGGGGCAGGGGAGACGGTGCAGGAGCCGACCCGCGCTTCTCCAGCTGAGAGTTTCTTAAGTTACCATATTTGCCATGGCAAAACAAGGGAGCCCCTTGTGATTGCTAAATTATGTATTAAAACTACAACTGGTTGGGATAGGAGGGGAGGGAGAGGGGGGACAAGGTTCCTGCAGAAAGGCACATTTCCACTTGGATGGACAAATGAAGGTATAAGGAGTAAAAACTGCGAGATAAGGATGGCATGGCTTGCAAATTATCCACCCAAGGCCCTAGTGGTATTTTCCCCTGAAATTTGATAGAAATGCACCTAAAGGCCTCCTTGACAAATAAATGGGTCGAATCGCTGTGGGGCAGTCTTTTCCGGATGAGTCCTATGCATCCTGCCAGCCAGCGGATCCTGTGGGAACACACCCATACCCCTGGGAGTTGGGGATACACACCAGCTTCCCTCCCCCTCACCTTCAGGGAGGAGGCTGAACTTTCCCATCCCTGGTGCAGAGGCGGCTGCTAATCCATACCCTCCCGGGGCCTGTCCCCTCCTGGACTTTTTCCCGGTGTGGGGTTTACCCCCTTTCCCCTGATCCCCGGCAAATAAACATAGGATGCCCCTAGAAGCAGCGGAACTACCACGAACACGGCAGCGGGGAGAAGCGCGGGCAGGGAGCAGGGAGCGGGGATGTGCTGCTGCCTCAGTGCCTCTGGCCCGGGTGCACCCCGCTCACCTGCTGCCAGGGGGTGTCTATCGGGTGGGAGGAAGGTGTAAAAGCCACTTCGAGGGGACAACCAGGGGCTTTTCTTCCGTGGTGAAGGTAGTGCAGGTCCCGATTCGAGGAACTGGGAACGAGGTCAAGCACTTTGGCGAGCGTCGTTTGACAAGGCTGCGGGGCTGGGGTACTGCAGGCCGGGGCTGCGCCCGGACATGAGACGTCCTTGGACTTTCCCCTGCGGAAACTGGGGTTGCCAAGAACCAGGAGTCGGGAGGTGGAGGGAGTAGGTGTGGGCGGCCGGGGGTGTGGGGTAAACGCTGCAGGGAAGTCAGAGGGGAGGCGGAGAGGAGGCCGCGCACTGGGAGCAGGACCAGGTCTGCCCGCGGCCCCTGTCGCCCGCCGGGCCCGCGGAGGGGACAGCTACCGGCGAGGGCTTCTCGCAGGCCGGGGGCAGTGACGAGTGCTTCCCCCGGGCACGGCTGCCCCCCCGCCTCCGCGCTGCGAGGTGGGACCGCCTGGGCGGGCTGTGCCTCTCCCCGCACCCGGCTGTGCCTGGGGGCCGCCCTCGGGGCGGGGGTCCCGGCCTCGGGCCCGGCCCGCGCTGTGCCCCCTGTGCCCGCTGTGCCCGCTGTGCCCTCAGTGCCCGCTGTGCCCCCTGTGCCCGCTGTGCCTCCTGTGCCCGCTGTACCCGCTGTGCCCTCTGTGCCTGCTGTGCCCGCTGTGCCCTCAGTGCCCGCTGTGCCCCCTGTGCCCTCTGTGCCTCCTGTGCCCGCTGTGCCCGCTGTGCCCCCTGTGCCCTCTGTGCCTCCTGTGCCCGCTGTGCCCACTGTGCCCTCAGTGCCCGCTGTGCCCCGCAGAGCGGAGCGGGCAGCGGGCGGCGGGCCGAGCCCCGGAGCGGGCGGCGATCGCCGTCTGCTGGCTGCCGCCGTGCCTCCCTTGCCCTCGGCCCGCATCGGGGCCGGCGAGCGCCAGCCCGCGCCGAGGCGATGCCTGATCCCTCGCCAGCCGTGAGGCGGGGACGGAGTGGGATCGCTTGCAGCTCCTCTGGCACTTCACTCCAAAACCCGCTATCCAGAAGGAAATGCAAAACACTCCCTCGCTACAGGGGTGCCATTATTGGGCCAAAGCGAGCGAACCGGGAGGGAGCAGGGAGGGCAGGCAAAGGAGAGACAAGGAAGAATTTTCCTGCCTCGGTGACTTGGCGACTCGGGGATCACAGCTTTCAACGTGACCTGCTTGCTACCCAGACGAGATGGAACGGTTGGAAAAAGGGTGCTTGAGTAAAGTCTCGCTTTCTTTTGCAGCGTTAACAACTGTTCTGTGCCATCCTACAGCATCAGTCCCAAATCAGCTACAGGCTCTCTCTGTGTTTTGTTGTCTTTTCTCAGCTTGCTGGGTAAAAGCGTATGGAGAATCTCTGGAGCTTTCGAGTAGGGGCTCACCCTGTGAACGGTACTCACACATATAATTCAAATTTCACAGCTGACCTGCTCTGAAAACCTCAATCAGCTTCTAATTGAAGGGAAAACAAAATATTGCTTCCCTACAGCAGAGCTAACGATTTAATCATTATATCAGACATTATAGCTTTTAATTAGGCTAATGCTGATACTGTATGGAAAGAGATAATTCAACACAGTTCTTGATGAATTCTGTAATTGGGTTAACGGAGGAGCAGTTGGGGGAAGAGACGTCAATATTCAAGCTGCGTCTATAGCCACCAGGTTTATGAATGAAAGGGAAGGGAGAAAAAGAAAAAGGGGGGGGAGGAAAGGGCTAAAATTCCCTGACGAGAAATGTCTCCCCCCTTCGCCCAGGAGAGCCGTGCCAACCAACTGCAAGCGTGAGGAGAGTAAGGGCTGTCCGCCTCGGCGCGCCCCGCTCCCGGCCGCCGCTCCCACAGCCCGGACTGCGGCGGCACCAGCGGCACCCGAGAGGCGGCCCCGCCTCGCTGCGGCTCCCGGAGCGGCTCGGGCGGGGGTCAGCGCCTCGCAGGCCGCTTCCCTCTATTTCCACCCCAACCCACGGCTCGCCCACCGCCACGCTGGGAGTTCGCGGATACGGGGCAACCAGGGCCACCAGCACCGAGACTGTCCTGCGGGGGTGCCCCGGGCAAAGTCGCGATCACGGCGGGTGGTACGGGACGGGACCGAAAGGTTTCTGAAGTCCTAATGAGAGCGGGCGGGCTCGGCTCGGCTGCCGGGAGCCGCCTGCCCTGCGGGGCGCGGGTGCTGGGCGGGAGGCGCGACACGGAGCCCAGGGGTGCCCTCAGGGCCAGCCCGCCCCGGGCAAAATCAAAGCGGCCGGAGGGCAGGCGGCTGCTCCATGTAGCTACTGCCATTTATTTATGTATTTATTGTGTCAGATAAAAGGGCGGCTGAAGCCACTTTTCTGAAGGAATTCTGCATCACCGCTCTCTCCACAGTGTCGATAAATTGCCTCTTCCCGAAGAGTTTGTATATCACAGCCTTTCTATTTTCTCTCCTTCCTTTCTAGTT